CTGAAGAAGTGAATCACTCAACCTAAGCTCTATTCATGGAAGAGAATGGGGTGGAATGTTTTGCAAGGGTCGTACATGTTGGAGAGTTTGTATAGAAATAAGGGTTTTGGATGTTGTTGTTTGTCCCACGTAGCATAGGAATAGAAAGAAAAACTTGTTTATAAGCGTGAAAGTTATATCCTTAATAAATTGGATAAAAGACCACTCAAATGGGTTTTGGGCCTGACCCATATGATTTGGGCTTGATCGGGGTCCTTGATAGGCTATATAAATATATATATTATATAGTCAAAAGATGGGCCTTGGGGATCTTGGGTCTTGTGATGTTTAAATTTCAGTTTTAACACTTATAATTTTCTTTTTCGGTTTTGTTTGGTTTTGTCTGAATGGATGTGTCTGATCTACACAAATGTTTTACCATAACCGACACAAAGGATAAGGATCTTCGTTTTCTATATATCTGTAGAGAAAACGTTTATTTCGGTTTACTGAAAAAATCCTACATTTTTAATCCTTCATAAATTTTGTTTGAGAGAAGAAAATACTGAGTATAATCGTCAGAACCAAGAATCGAGTGCTCGTTTCTTGGATATAGATTGTTGAATCCTGGAACTACAAGCACAGGAGTAGGGGCGAATTTCTGCTATAGGACATAGCATTGTGCTAGCCTCAATCTGAAATTCAAGTTAGAATCGTTTATGTTAATTTTGTTGTCTATATGTTGCAGTGATATTATTCTGTTTTGTAATTTCGTTGCGTTTTTAGTTCTGTCTTGTTCTTTATTGTTTCCAACAGTACATAGGGTGGAGGTAGGGGTGGCAAACGGGTCAAGTCACTACTCGTCAATGCATGGGTTGGAGCTCAAATTGAGAGGAGTCAAGAGTTGAATCGACATTTTTACACGATCCAAGCTCGTCGGCTCATCTTGAGCTTGTAGACCTAGTCCACGAGTCAACTTGTGGCTCGAGTTGATTTAACTAGGAATAGAGCATAAATCTAAAAAGATGAAAGGGATCATTTGTGAACGAGAAAATATTATCGTGATTTGGATTGAATTTCGATGAAAAAAATACATCGAAAGTTAATTCGAAAAGTTTAGTAACTTTTACCTGTGCCATTTTATGAGTCTATTCTTTTTAAGGTGTGAAATCATCATTTCCTTTGGCGACGTTTACTAATTCAAAACTTAATTTGAAAGTCATGCTTTGACGTAGACATTTTTGGGATGTCGCTATAATCCACTAATGACAAGTCCTTTCCCTTATGTCGTGAGCCAATTCATTTGACCAATTGGGTGATCCTACGATCAGATTTTTTTATCTTTTTAATGATTGACAAATGATTTTTTTTTTTAAAATATAATCTCAATTCTTTTTTTCCCCCCACAAAACTCCACCCTCTCAATCTACAATCATTATAATCTCCATATTATATTATATAGTGCAATCTTAAATTTTGTTACCTTTAAATTTACTTTCATTCTTGTCCAAATCTACCAAATCTTTGATGCATGGTAAGAATGGTGGTGAGATAGTAGTAAATACTACGTCAGACAAATATAAGTAGAGGATGTCCATGCCAAGAAAAAAGACAATTGGGACCAAAATAGCACATATGCCATAGGTTAGGGACTATTTGTGCCAATTTCCATAATATTTTGGAAATTGTTTAACGTTTGGGATTTCTAATTTTGAATTGTATCATTTCTCAAGTGGCTGTGTGAAAATGCCTTTTTTTTCTCGCAATTTTATTCTCTATAGTACAACTCATCTATCTTGATACATTTGGTCAAATTTTAGGGTTAGAACAATTAATTGGAAAAGTCTAAATGAGACCAAAAATCAATATTTTTATTATATATAATAAAAGAATAATCATATTTATAATCAATGATTGCAATAATCATCTTATGTGGCAGCTTGTTATTTTTCTATAATTACGTGGCCTCAAATAATAAATTAATGCCTCAAATAACAAGTTGTCACATAAAGATAACTACTGTAGTCGATAACTATGAATAACATTACACATAATTGAAACAAGCCTAGAAAATAACCAGCCAATAAGCCCATTTAGCGCCCGTTGGCTCTCATTATTCTACATTATAATGAGAGAAATAATAAATTTTTTAAGTGTGTGGTTAAAAAAGAAGGAATTTTTTTTGGATTTATGTGTAATATTATTTTATTGGAGAATATGTGGTTGATAAGAAACGACAGAAAATGAAATATAACTTAACGGGGGAATAATGGGACCATAGGGGGCTAATTGATCGTTATCAAGCCGTGTAATATTTGAAGACTTCCATCCATATGGAGCAAAGTTTCCAAGAGTAGAATTCCAAATGGATGGACCCATAATCAGGGGCGGAGCCAGCTTGTCGAAGTAGGGGTGTTCTAGAGTTGAAGGGGTGGGAGCCCACCGGGGTTCAGGAGCAGCGCCCCCGAAATTTTTTTTTTAAGATACTTTTGGCATTCCATTTTGCGACACACTTCTAGTGATCAACTAATTACTATCATCTTAAATCCATATATAGCAAGAGAAATTCCAATCTTATGTGAAGAAAATGAAGTCCACACATCATCGAACATGAATACATATCTCCTTATTCTCTTGAATGCCTTACCCAATTTAGCTGCTCTCTTGTGCTCATCACCTTCAGCCGAAAAATCTAGATTCAATGCTTTAGCAATATCATTTTGCAACTTGTGAATGTTTAAATCCTGTGAGACAGTAAACCAAAAAACATTAGCGTGTAACACAATTGCATTCTTTAGCTTATTATAGATACATTGGTTCATTGGTAGCAAGGAAATGGACATGGAATATCAATGAATATCAAAATGGTGAGGACAAAATGCTATAAAAAAATAAAAAAAACTTTTTTGTCAAAAAATTGGGGGG